CAGTTATAATCAGAAAAAAGTTCAAAGTATATTTTTATTATTGGTGATGTAAAAACTATTAGATTTCTTGTGAGTGTTGGATACTATGCTCATCCCTTTTAGCACAGGAATTTGCCCTTGTTGGAAATATTTGACTTGCCTATAAGTAGTGAGCCACTCACCATGAATAACAAATGCACGTAACCCCTAAGAAACCGTTGTATTGTGCTGTGCAAGTCATTTTGGGTAAGGAATGAGAAACTTGTGCTAGGCTAATGACACCTCCTAACTTTTTCAGGCATTTATATGAGCTTTCCTGACCTGTGAAGAAATTACCCTGATGCTATTACTGAAGGCATCTTCCTCCACCTGGACTTAGACTGTAACTTTCCTACCACTTACTACATTAAAAAAACAAAAACAAAATCAAGCTCTTCTGCATTCCTGGATGTATATAATACATCACCTTTGCCATCTCTTCCCCAGCTGCCTCCTCTCAGCCTACCCCTAATATTTTTACTTTCCTATATCCCTTGATCCCCTTTGTGCCCCCTATCTTGTTTGCCTTACACAAGAACAGTATCTATGCTCTTATCCACCCACCAGACTCATTCATGTGTGGTAAGGGAGGGGCAAGTTCCATCTGACCAATGGTCACAAACCCTGGTGGTGGCTCTGAGGGCGCCCTTCAGGGCACACCTCTCTCCACTAGTCTATTGCTTGTCCATTGAAAACAAACTAAGATTTGCTCATGACCTTTGACCTCGGTAAACTTTATTTTTACCTGTCTCAGTTCAGGTCTTGCAGAGGAAGCTTTGCCAGGTAATGAGGCATGTCCCTACAACTTGTATAAAATTATAGGCCCCCTCTTCCACTACAAGAAGTAATCAGTGTTTCTGAAAATCATCCCTACCACGGGCAATCAAGAAAGTAAATAAAACAGCAACAAGATTTATTACCCAAACAAGATCATTCACAGTATACTTTGAAAAGACAGTGTACTTTGAAAAATAATCATAAAAAAAATTAAAGTAAAATCTCACCCCACATTTCTTACTAAAATGTAACACACCCAGCTTCTCCCAACTAGGGGACTAGATCACCCAAAGCCTAGGGATCATTAGACAACCTATTACCAAGGCACCCTCTATATACCATCACCTTATTTACCCATCTCTATATTTCTGTTTCTAATTTTCAAGGGCATATGTACACTGCATCGGTGACCTACTCCCCTGAGATAGGCATCTGTCTGTCAGGCCAAGTGATATTCCCCATTTACAGTTACGTTTAAGACCTATAGAAATGCTTACATCCTCCCAGACAGATGGGTCAATAATCTGATATCCTTAGCTATCCATTACTCAAGATAGATATAAAAAAGATCTCTCTTATTCTATTCACAGGTGAAAAAAATTAATCCCTGATGAGATTCTTTCCAGATGCCCATCTCCTGAGACTGGATTCCCTTTGCTCAGGCCTTTTCCTTGGAATTTGAACCACAGTTATTTGTGGATGGGCACATGTCTACGCTGTCTGTTCTGGACTAATTATGTGCAGTAGCTTCAATGTACATTTTTAGAGAGTGGGATCTTCTCTGAAGTGTGAATAGTTATGGCTGGTCTGGGGATATTCCTGACACTTCAATAGCATTCCTACTATTGACTATTTCCAATCATACTAAGATACATGGAGACCCCCAAATCAGCCCTGCTTTTGGGGTGAGTTGGAGCCACCCAACTAATCTCTTTTAGAAGCACAATAAATTAACCTGCAAGGAGCTCCATTTAATTCCAAGATATCTTAACGCTTTGCTGCAGTCTGCAGTGTTTGACATACTCTTGGTGAGAGCAGGTGAGTGCACAAATTTAGGTAACCTCCTTGGTAGCTTTATTCATTACTCCCAACACCATGGAGAGCAAAAGATTCTGCAGAGCACGAGAACCATAACACTTTCATTTGCTATTCAGTGGCACAAGGGAAATGCGCTGATTGTCCAACAGGGACGATAGTTTGGCCAACCTCACCATAAGCTAAAGCTAACATTTTTCACTGCTCATGAATAAACCTCCCAAATAAAATCTCCCAACTTGCCAAAAAGAAGGAGTTTTTCCCTGAGGACTTCAAGATCTATTTTCATTGGGGAATCTTCTAAGATACCTATGAGGTAACAACTCGGAGGGTACCTGTAAAAATGTCTTTTTACCATTAGGGAAGGTAATTACAGTATTGGCCAAACATTTTTATTCCCTGGCACAAAGAGCAGCTATATTCATCATGCGCTGCCATGAAATACCACTAATCCTTCCCACAAACTCCACCCTGCTAACCACGGTGCTAGAGCTCATAGTGCAACACACCCAACAGAAGAATTCATTGTTTGTGAGAATGGGGTCTTTCAAGCTCTCCAGGAAGCCAGGCTTCATTCCCCAGACCACACCTCCACTGGCATTTTTAAAAGGTGGCTCTGAACTTCCTTCCCTTCTTGCATCATGAAGGATGGGAGCTGGTAGCCAGCCTCAGCAGTTTATCTCCCTAAGTCTTCCAGACTGTTTACTACTCATTCCTGGCTCCCTGACTGCTTGGCCCTATGGAACAGAGATGCAAGTCTGGATGGATTCCCAGCAGGGCAGATGATAAACCAAAAGCACTGGAGAGCTCCAGCTGCAGCACAATGGCCAATTCTGTAGTAGAAATACTAAATTCCATGGCATCTGAAAAAAAAATGCCAAAAAGTCTGCAATGGTTGCATTGTAGACTTCAAAGGGCTCTGCCTAGGGAGAACCAGGAAGTTTAGCTGCTCTACAGAAGCCTAATCCTTGATCTTAAATAAAAAGAACCCCCCCCCCCCCC